AATGGCAAGAGACGAGAATGAAGAAATCGTCGATCAAAATGAAAATAATGGCGTCAATGAGGAAATAAGGGAGCAAGAAGAAGATGAATTTTTAGCACGGGGACAAGAATTACCCGTCAGGCATAGAGAAATGGAAGAAGTTATAAATCAAGAAAATGAGTTAAATTCCGAAGATGAAGAAGAAGAGGAAGAAGAAGAGGTCGAGGAACACGAACCGGAACTACGAAGAAGTACGAGGACACGGGACATAAAATGGCCCGCTAGATTTAAGGATTATGTAATGAAAAAGCTGTAAAATGTAGAAAAATCCGAGTATGTCTAATCTATGTATAACTAACTAGGAATTGAGAAAAATGTAGAATGCATAAGGGAGGATGTTAGCTATAAAATTTAAGAATAAGAAAATTAGAATCGAATGTAAGAATTCATTGATTTAAAGGCGTAATTTAGGTGATTAGGGAAATAATTGTATAAGATTTGTTAGACACTAGAAACATGCCATCAGAAAATAACAGGTACCAAGAGAACGACGAATTCGTTCCGCCACTACGTATCCATGTTGAAATGGAAAATTTGGACAGTGTTGTCCTAGTAAAACTCCGATGAGCCAGTAGGAGCAAACACGAAGACCTTGGTAGCAGTAGCCAACCAGAGCCAGTAACCACGAAGGAAGTGATGTGAAAAGTGAAAAGTCAAAAAGGGTGTAAGTGTAACGTGTAACTAGCAAACCAGCGAGACCACCCTTGAGCAGCATCAGCATCCAGATCGTAGCTATCCTAGCTATGATACCTACTACTGTGAGATTGACAGCGACACTACAGGCCACCAACCAATGAGTCGTAGTGGAAGGCCGCAATATAGGTCCAATCAATATAGGCCTAATGAGTAACCAGCGCTTCAAGTAAACTTTGCTACAAGCAAGGGTAATTATTTTGTAAGATTGAAATTTGTTTTGTGTCGTTCTAGCATCAACAATTTTGAGGGGAAATATTAAATGAAAATTGTATTAATGGAGAAAAATTAAGAAAAATTTTGATGCAAGGATAAAATCTAGTGTTGAGTAAAGATTCATAATTATGCTTTTATAATTATTTTTGTACATGAAGTTGCGAAATTACGCAGAAAAAGTTAATTTCGTATTACTTTTGTTGTTTAGTAAAATTTTGAAAAATAACAGATATTTTTAATGTGAAGTTTAGGATAGGAAAAGCACGTACATAATTTAGGTTGAACGATCGGATAAATACGCGGATAATATTATCGTGAAATTTTTGAAATTGAGAAAAGTAACCCATAACTCACAGAGGGTTCACCGACCGAACCTTTTACAAGGCAGGCACCTAATTTATGGTGTAAATGGGACAATTGAATAAGAATTGTCCGAAATTATCTTATTCAATATAATTTCGGTTTTAAAGGGCGGAGGGATGTGATGATCCAGAAATTTGACCCTATAATTACAAAGTCTTTACTGTAAAAATTAAATAAATAATCAAACAATCAAAAACTTAATTCCGGTATTTTGAAATCTGTATCGATAAATTAAAAATAAAAACCAACTAAGCAATCGTATAGCGACACCCGGAAGTCGTTCATCTAAATTAAATTCTTAAAAACTGATAAAACCGAGGTGGTGTCATCCTAAAATCCGATTCAATGAACTTTATTTAGCCAAGGCCTTTCCGTTTAACACACATTGAGTCGAATGAATTATGGATTCTTGAACCCAAAACGTCTTGACCTCAATAAATCAGATAATTGCGACATAATTAGTCGATTTTTGGGCTACAAAAATGATATAATATTCAAGGAAATTGCATCATTCTTTTAATAACAATGAGGCCGTCCAATGAAATTCGGATTCCTAAGTTAACGACCGCCTATATTGACGATTTGGGGGAAATTTAATAATATTTTGCGGGGAGAGCGAATTGATATAAAAAACTCGCGGAAGATAGTTCCCAGTGATCTGAAGATAGTTCCCAGTTGATAGTTGCCAGTTAAGAGTCGAGTCGTCCATTTGAAGTAAAGTCGGTCCAGTTTCGCGAAAAGTTTCTTTTATGGCCTATGGCCTCGGGTATAAATTAACTTAGAAAATTTACGGAAAATCGAGAAAGTAATAACAGTTGAAATTTCGTTCAATCAATTATGAGCGTGAAGCTAAATATTTTGAGTAGTTAATTAAATAATTTTACGTGTGTTTTATGGACAAAATGTAAGTACTTTATAGTGACAAGATTTATTTTGATGAACATGACTTTGTGTGAAATTTTACTAGAAAACTTTTGATTTTTAATTTAACGGTGGAACTTTAATACAACGAAATTAATAACTTGAGTGTTTTATGAAGGAAACATTATCGCATAACTTTAATTACCTTCAGATATAATGACATTTAAATGTGCAACAAAAAATATGAAGAGTACTTACAATGCATTTAACAATATTCAATTTTGAGTTGGAAATTATGAATTAAACAGTTGGATTTATTAGCTAGGCATAGGAATCCGAAAATAGAATTTGTTCTAAGAAACTATTAACTGCAATAGGAAATTTTAAAAAGAAATTTGATGACATAATAGAATTGTTTTCTTAAAATATTGGAAACTAGTTAAAAGGAAACTTATATTAGAAATTGTCTGATTAAATAAACTAATTAAAAGGAAATAGGATGTTTCGTAAATTAAACTTGTTCATGAAATAGAATTGTCTTAGAATATGGGAAAGCCGTTAAAAGAATTTATTGTCCATGAAATGAATTTTGAATTAGGGAGTTTATTTTACAAGTAGAGGTTATTGTAAGATTTTATGAGAATAAATTAGTTGTTAAACAGATAGGTAATTATTTTGGGTTTTTATAAGTAATGGACTTAGAGATTTTAAGGAATTAATTGACTAGGTAAAGGATAGTTATTAGGAATGATTCGGATGTAGTAAAATAAATAGAAATATTATTTTGAGAAATAGTATGAATAGGGCGTTTCTTATTAAGTAGGCATATTTCAGTGGTCCGTATAATAACAATATAGAACGGATGTGAAGTATTAATTTTACAGAATTAAAGAAGGATGTAAAGTATTGGGAGATATTTGGCTAATTGATTTTTGAGTTTTATGTGAAATAAAATATAATTTAGTACACCTCCTTAGTTTGTTTCTCTCTCTTGCAAATAGACCCTCTTCCACAGATTTTAGATAGCAAGCTCCAAGTATATAAACACCATCAATATACCGCTCGCCATTTACCACCTAACTAATTACATAGTGTACTTGGGGCGATTTGCTACACCACATTGAGGATGATTTTGGAACAATTTAGACATTTTAGAGTTATTTCAGGACAATTAGGATTTAATTAGAACTGGCAACCTTTTAGAACTCTTTTGAATCAATTTAGAACATTTTGGAGCATCAATAGGACTCTAAAATACTTAAAAATCTGTCAGAACAATTTAAAAATTACTGATGAAAACCTTTCTAAAATGCTTCAAAACTTTTCAAGCCAAGTTAGAACACTTTAGAACTTCAATAAGCCATTTAAAACGTTCCAAAACACTTTTCAGTGGCATTTTGAAAGCATTCAGAACAATTTAAAAACCTCAGATTATTTCAGAGAGCCTATAGCGCCTGGAATAAACAAAAATTGAGAGTTATAAAATGAGTAACAATAAGGAAATATTAGTAGGATAATATTTCCCTTTCAATTCAAACTCTCGAATGTTTATATAATTTTTCCAATTCCAAGCTCTTGATTTGTTTTTTAATTTTTACACCTGGCTCTTCTAACGTTCTTCTTCTAAAATGAATGTTGTGTATGTTCTCGTTTAAAAGAAATCAAGAATTTAAGGGCCTAGCGTTTGAAATAGACAAAAATGAAAGTTAAGTAATAATAACGAAATATTAGTCCTGAAGACATCTTTAGGCAGACGTCTAAAAGATGTTGAGTTTTGTAACATACGTCATACGACATCTCCAAGACGTCTTTAAGACGCCTTGAAGACGTAAGAAGACGTCTTGAATGTTGTTTGTGGACTTCTTAGGGATGTCTTTGTAAGATGTCTCTGTGCTGTCTGGGATAATGCTGCAAACCGAATATTCCAACAAAAAGATGCTTAGAACATGTGAAATCCATCCATCCAATTCCCGGAATTCGTTTCCATTGTGTTATCTTAATATGTTCACATATATTTATAAGAATTCTAGAGTTCCCTAGAAAGCCAGTTTTACTGGACCGGTAGAATTCGTGACATTGTCGCTCCATCATTTAATGAGAAGAGTAATAGCGTCATTAGCAGGAGAACATTCTCCCAATTTGCAACAATTCTATGTAAAAATATAATTCAACAGAATGCAACATTTTACCAAGAACAAAACAGCCGGACGATTCGAATAATAAGCATGACTAAATTCTCTGTGGAACATCCATATAATAATTTTTATTTGTTTATTCTGGTGTGACTGTGACGCAATTTTCATGGTTGGTATGGGATGATACATAACATAAACATTATTGGTCATCTCATTGATATGCATGGGCAGGATCCTTTATATGGGAATGACCATCAGAACAGAATATTGTATAGGATTTTTGCACACATGCATCGTTTTTGAACAAATTTGATTTGATCTGATCTCATAAATAAATGCAATTTGATATTTTTCAAATTTGACTCTTTGTAACTTTCTTGATATGTATTGGAATTTATTTATAGATTTTTCTTTTACAGGTAGAAAAAAACAGGTGTAAACCAATATGGATAGATTATATTATTAAATCTTCCCTTATCTAACTGTATATATAGACAATTAATTCGATAAGAAATGAGACAGGGTGTTTAAAAAGTTCACATCTCTCCAGTTATAAAAATTCACCCTGTATATGCCTTTTTTTTAGGCGCGCCTCTGTCCTTTACTAGTAAATCTAGGCAAATTATTTAATACCGTAAACCGCTTTATGCAATAAACAATCACAGAAAGTGAAAGTTGTTGGTATTCACTCACCACTTGCAATAATCCCAACGAGAACCACATTAAAGGTCCCGTAAAGTTCATTTTGGTAAAGTTAATCCTTCTCGTCATGTTGTAATTTTGACCAATTAGGGCACTACAGTTTCAAGAGAATATGTGCGCAAAAATATATCACATTATATACACACAAAACAATTTTATTACGGAATTGTTTACGTAGAACGCGGCGCGAAAGAAGGTTTTTACGGGACTAGTACCAAGAGTACCAGTTTTATGGGTGCATGGCTTGCCAGTCTGACCGCCTGTTCGTGTCACTGGGTGGGAAGTAGAGATGGGTCGATTTTCTAGTCATGGTATTATCTAACGATAACGTACCATGGGTTTTTTACGGAGAAGTTATGGTTTCGAATTTTCTTGAAAAATGGCTAATTAAATTAGAGTTAGGAGAGAGAACCTAGTTTTTATGTGACCTGTAGTACCTATACAAATAATAAAGTTCAACACCCGAGCAGAAAGTATTTTTTCGAAACTTTAGATTATAAAACCATAAAAACTTGTAGATGAAACAGTATTTTATGTAGGAATATGATCACATTTAACTTGAGAAGTTTACTGGGAACTAATTATGTACAATTAAAATAGGGCGCAAAAAGTTCCAGTCTTCACCAAAATATATTTTTTTTTGGACTTTCCTTCCATTATAATTATTATGTAGAAACGTAGAAACCTCATTCTGGAGGCTGGAAATGAGTTTAAACCATATAGTTGGTTCTTTGGGGTGGAGCATGAAAGTAATGTTTCTGTCTAATTTGCCGTAAAGGAACGTGAAGCCTAATTTTTTCAGTAAGATCAGGAGCAAAACTGTGGGAGTGCAGTAAATTGTAGAACATTGTAAGGTCCCTGTGAAGGCGACAAACTTGAAAAGTACCAATATTTAGATAGTTTTCCATTTCAGAATAGTTGATGTTTTCAGTTTTATGCGGATGCTCTTTGAAAGAGATGTACCTCAAAAACTTATGCTGCACTATTTCACTAGCCTGGATATGGACATCGTAATGAGGAGACCAAACACAAAAACAGTAATCGAGATGTGGGCGCACAAGAGAGCAATACAATGTTTTAATTGAAGAGATGTGGAGAAAGTCCTTAGTACAGCGCTTGTAAAACCCAAAATTTGAAGAGATTTGGAGACAGCCAATGATCATTGAGGTATATAAGACAGCCGATTATCCAGAATAACTCCCAAATCTCTTATCTGAGAAACAGCATTTAGCGGGGAACCATTCACAGAGTATGCCCGCTGGGTAGGGTTTCCGCCACGACTGAAAATCATTAGATGGCACTTTTTACTATTTAATTCCATTCCGTTTTGATTACACCAACCCAACAATACAACCTGTCAGATTGTATTTTTAAACAATCTTCAGTTTTGTCGAAAATTTCAAATAATCAACAAACATTCTTAGTTAGAAAATCACAAACAAGGCTTTCAAAGTCTTTAGGTATATAGGTATAGGGAGAGGGTGTTTTTTTATATATTGACACCTCACCTACAGCCTTTACCTTTACAGGTAGAAGAAAGGTGTAAATACAAAAGTTGTACAGTTTTGGCTAGATTTTTAGAATCCATGGTCAGGAACAAAAATTGAATGTCATAAATGTGAAATGTTACATGCTTTCAGCTTTTTTCAAATGGAATATGCCCGATATTTGGTTCTATATTCTTGAAAAGCACAATTTTCCGATTCCAAAAATATATAGTTTGTCTATGTAAGGTTGAGGTGTCTCCAACATATGTGGGAAACCAAGTACCTCAAATTTTACCTGCAGTTTTCACCTGTACAGGTAGAATGGTTCGCAAAATCAGTTAGAAGGATAGTATTTTTATAATTTTTAGAGCCGAATATAAGAGAGCGCTCAGCCAAATATAGATAAATTATATATTTTTGGAATCAGAGCATTGTCCTCTTCAAGAATATAGAATCAAATATAGGGCTTCCCATTTGAAAAAAGCTGAAAGCATGCAAAATTTCACATTTCTGACATTCAATTTTTGTTTTTGACCATGGATTTCAAAAATTTAGCCAAAACTGTACAACTTTTGTATTTTCACCTTTCTTCTACCTGTAAAGGTGAAGGCTGTAGGTGGGGTGACAATATATAAAAAAACACCCTGTTCAGCAGTATACTAATGGGCCTATAGTGATTATGGACTCTTGCTAATATCTAATGGTAGGGGTTGAAAATTATAGAGTATTGTCTAAATTCTCTAGAACCGATTCCGTTCATGGAGGAATACCATGATCCTGGCGAACGAAAAAATAAATTCATATAATTTTGTTAATGTTCAACGGTTTGATAATTTAATTATTGAAAACGAATTTGAATTTTCTGTTGTTTATAGTGATAGGGTTAATTTGTATATAGTTTGTGTGTACCGTTCTCCGTCGGCTAATCGCTCAAGTTTTATTGAAGGCTTGGAAGCATTACTTAGTCAGTTTCGACCTTCTTGTTCTTTGGTTCTCTCAGGAGATTTTAATGTTGATTATAACGGCGACTCTAGTGTCCCAATAAAAAAATTATTATCTTGTTTTAACTTAAAAATGCAGGTTTTGAAACCCACGAGAATTACTGCGCACTCAGCATCTACCATCGACTACTTTTGCTCAAACCTAGCAGATGTTTCTTGTCATGTAAAAAACTCGGCTCTGTCTGACCATGAAGCCATAATAGCTGGTTTGAAGCTTAATTTTAAAAAATCCAAAGCGATTCACAATAATGGTCGAATCTATAGCAAAAAAAAATTTCGTAACTTCCGTTACATCTGCAGAAAAACTAACTGGACTGTAACTGGTAATAGTCCACTTAAATGTTTCTATTTAAAATTAACTAGAATTTTTAATATTTCATTTCCTGTTGTTAGAATTAAAAAAAAAACGCGAAGAAACACTGGTTAACTGCGGCTATAAAGGTATCTGCTAGAAATATGCGAGTTTGATGCGAGCTTTGCACTACCTCAGGAAGTTTTTCTCCGAAAATGCCTTTTTCTTATCTTATTTTAACAGATACCGAACTATTTATAGAAGGGTGGTACAGTTGGCAAAGAGAACTTATTACAGTCAGAGGCTGGTTGACTCGAAAAATGTTTCTAAAGAGACATGGACCATTGCTAACGAGTTAAGACAAGATATTAGTTTTAATGTACGTTTCAATGCTGCTCTTTCTCCCAATGAGCTGAATGATTTTTACTGTTCTGTTGGTAATAATCTTTTGGCTAAGGTAAATTCATCTGCCGATCCATTGAGATATGTTTCTGCAGGGTGCGTCACGGAAACGTTTTTCATGCACCCAACTGATGTGCAAGAATTAAAATTAGTTTTTTCTAATGTGAAAAACAAGAATGCATCAGGATGGGATGACATGTCAGTTAGGATTTTTAGTGAGTTGTCTCAAACTGCTCTTTTGTCCTTGGCTGACGCAATTAATCATTCCTTTGTGAATGGATACTTTCCAAGTTTTTTGAAGAAAGCAGTTATAATTCCATTGCATAAGGGAGGGGATGATGACACTCCTTCTAATTTTAGACCTATTTCTCTTTTGCCTACCTTATCCAAAATAATTGAAAAACTGGTCAAAGGCAGAATCATGTCCTTTCTGTTGAGGTATAATATACTTAGTGTCAATCAATTTGGTTTTCGGAGCGAGAAGTGCACAAGTGATGCCATTTTTGCATTCCTGGAGCGCTTGTTTGTTGGTTTGAATGACGGGGCGTTCGCTGGGGCAGTTTTCTGTGACCTGACCAAAGCATTTGATTGTGTCTGTCACAGGATACTGCTGCAGAAACTTGAGTTGTATGGTGTCAGGGGTGTGTGTCTGGGTTGGTTTGAGTCCTATTTAGCGGAAAGGACTCAGATGGTTTCTTTTGCTGGGCAGAGGTCTAATCTCGGTAATTTGGTGTGTGGAGTGCCTCAGGGGTCGGTTCTTGGCCCGATCTTGTTTCTTTTGTATGTCAATGACTTACCTACCCTGGATATTAGTGGCAAATTTACACTCTTTGCCGACGACACCACCATTCTTTGGCAAGGGACTGACTCAGAATCTCTAGATCAGCTAATTGGTACAGATTTAATAAAGATTAAAGACTGGTTTGAGAGTAATTTGTTAACCTTTAATATTAAAAAAAACAACCTTTTGACATTTAGATGTACCTTAAATGACATCCAGTTGGTTGCTCTCATTGAGTCTCGCCTAAGGTATGGGATTCCTTTTTGGGGTAGTTGCAGTGACTATTTGTTTAACTCGGTGTTTGTTTTGCAGAAGAGAGCCATGCGTTTTATGTTTGGAATTAGAGGAAGAGATTCTTGTAGGCTATCTTTTGTGGAAAAGGGTATAATGACTCTTCCATGTCTGTATATTGCAGAGAGTGTATACCTGGTCTTTAGGAAGTACAAGCATATTATTGTTGAAGGTCCCTATGATACTCGACAAACTTACAACATCCCTCTGCCAATTCCAAGAATAAGCCAAATAAGAAAATCATTTATTTACAATGCCAAGAAAATGTTTAATCATCTTCCTGTTGATATAAGACGTATCCAGAATGCTCCTAAATTTAAAGCGGAGACTAAGCGTTTACTTGTGCGGAAGGCTTATTATACTGTCACTGAGTACTTTGAGGATCGGTTGTGAACTAATTAGTTATAAGTTGATATTCTTGACATTTTAACATACCTTGTGCAGGTTTTATTAATTTTTAGTTTTTGATAATTTTTAATTTTTATTTTTGTTACAGTTAGTGCTAGATGTATGTATGTATGTGTGTATGTATATTTATATATTGTTGATTTATGTACATACTTGAGTCTTATTTTATTATTGTATTACTGTGTTGTGTTAGTTTTATTATTGTAATTCTTAATTTTTAAATATTTTAGGGTAGCTTTGTCAATGAATACTGTATATTTTGGACAATAAAGCATGTTTTGATTTGATTTTGATTTAAGAATGACAGTTTTACATAAAGTTCAGAAATAGAAAAGTTACAACTAGACAAAATTAATATGACTGGAAGAGGGGACATTGTGTGAAACATCAGACATTATCAGAGTACATTTGCGAAAAATACTCAGCAAACAAATACAATTTCGCCAACAGTTGAAGGCCTCTGATATTATTGTAGTACATTTTAGAAGGAATATCACAATTTTTCTTTTTACTGTTAACGAACTTCCAAAAGTTTTTAACATTAACTCTCAAGTAAGATTCATTTTGGGCTATATAGCATTGATAACACTCTGTTTCTT